TAATGAAACCTTTTTGGTGACAAAAATACCAAATTCCTGGACAGAAGCCAATATTTCTCTTATACCTAAAGACGATGCTGACCTCACACAAATTAAAAACTACAGACCAATATCATTAAATGTGGACTATAAAATATTCACAGCAATAATAACGGAAAAAATGAAGAAATTCTTGAATGAATTTATTTACTCAGACCAAAATGCCTTTTTGCCTAAAAGACAGATAAAGAATAATTTAAGAATCATTTTAAATGTATTGGAATATTATGAAAAGCATCCGGGGAAACAGACAGCTGTCCATGTAATTTCCACCATTAATATTCTCCCTTCTTCATCAGTGTAGATTTGTTTTGGATTCATCTTTTCTTTTATGTAAAAAGCTATCCCTTTTTTCTTTTGTAGTGCCAAAGGGAAAAAAAAAGATTGCCTATCTTTGGTTGTTCTAAAATTCTAAAATGTTGTCTTTTAATATGTGTCTCTTGAAGGGAAATTATGTCCATTTTCAGCTTTTGTAATCTATTAAATATTTTACTCCTTTTTGATGGGGAGTTAAGACCATTTATATTTATTGAAAAAATTCCAATCTCCTCCATAGTTTCAATTATATCTAGACCTCAATCTTCTAGGGGAGCTTATCTGCCTCTGGTCTTTCGATCTTACATCTTCCTCTTTTTTGGTTCTCCCTCCTCTGTTTGTTTTGGTGCTCCTGAACCCATCATTTCCTCCCGTTTCTTGGATTCAAAGTCGCCTTTTTCTAAAAAGGCTCTGTGATTGTTATAGAATTCCTCTGCTTGTATTGAAATAGCCAATCTATATCTTTTCAAGTCCCAAAAAATTAATAAGCCTTCTGACACCAGACATCTAAAATTCACTCCCTTGTTAAACAGTTTCCTTATTAAAAATTGATATTCTCTTTGAGCTTCTCTTATTCTTCTGGGAATCTGTTTAAGAACTACAAGTTCTTTGTCTTTGTATTTCACTGGTTGGTCTCTTATTGCTCTCAAGGTCTCATCACATGTAAATCTTTTAAGAAATCTTACATGAACCTCCCTAGGAACTCTATTTCTTCTTGCATAGCTTGAATTGATTCTAAAAACCTGATCTATTTCTTGTTTCATTTGATCAATTTCCATTCCAAGCAATTCCGCTAATAGCTCGCTCATCAGCTCTAACAAGTTCTCATCCTTCTATAATATTTTGAAATCTTAAAAAGTGTGCTGTGGTCTCCATCTCCATAACGGCCATGCTGTCTTCCAGTTTTGCATTAGCTTGCGCCAATCTCTGATTTTCCTCTTGCAAAGCTTCAATTTTCTGGTCAACCACCACTGACTTATCTTCTATTTTTTGCATTCTTTGTTGGGTATCTGTCATCGCCTGTGGAAAGGTTTCCATTTTTTAATCCATTTTAAGGAGATCATTTTTCAAATCTTCATAATTTTTTTCCAAATCTTTTTTTCATTTCCATTTTAGAATCTGCAATTGCTTGGAGAATGGCTTGAGTGTCCTTTTGTTGAGTTTCCTGTTGTAAAAATGTAATAATAATTTTGGGGGGGCTGGACTCACTGAGATTGAAGCGGGGGCCGAGGAGCCCTTCCTCACCCCTTTAGCTAAATTTGAAGCACTTATCTTCTAGTTGTTGTACTTAATTATAATCCATGAGGCAGCCCGATGGCTAGTTATAATCCACCAGGTGGCCCGATAGCCAATTGTAATCCAGTGTCCTCCTATTACCAGGAGACAAGGCCAAGCGAAGTTTGAACAAAAAAAATAAAACAATTCCTTTAGGGGAGTAAAAAGAAGAACTCCCATAACCATCCAAAACAGGAGCCAGAATAAAAAGAATAGAGAAAAATAGAAAAAGGAAACAAGAACAACAACAAAAATCTCCAAAAACAAAAAGGAGTGGTGATATACTTATCTCCAGAAAACAAAACAACAGAAAAGTCAGATCCTCATGAAAAAAAGAAAAAAGAGGGGAGACCCCAAAAGGAGACCTCCCCCCCAAAAAAACAGGATAAAAATTACCAGGAAAGAAAAATTAATATCCGGGTTATAGTTCAATTATATTTTATCCACATCCCAAAAAAAGGAACCCAAAAAAAGGAACCCAAAAAAAGGAGTTCCCTTCTTCTTTTATAGATTTCCTTGCTATAGGAAGTATACAGCTAGCCAACAGGTCAGATAGAAAACTAAGCAGTCTCTCTCTATATAACTTTTACAGAGAGATAAGAATGTCTAGGCATGCAGCCAAGTGTCTGGGTGTTGAGCCAAGTTTAACAGCTGAATACACTGAGAACAAAGACAAGAAAAAAAGTGCTAAAATGTAGCCACCAACGCTGTCTCTTTCAAAGTTTATTCAGAGTGAAGACACAGTTTTAAAGTTTTAAAAAGAAAAAAAGGTAGTTAGGATGGCTTTCCCAAATACAGTATCCTTTATTTTTGAATTTCTCTAATAAAAAAGAAACTTTAAAATAGTCCCAATTAAATTTCTTTCTTAATAATGGAGTCGCTTACACTGCCACCTGTGCGGGAGGGGGGAGAAAAAACCCCTCCTTCCTCCCTTCAAGTTTCCAGCTTTAGTTAAAGACAGGTTATTTATCTCAAAAGAAAATCCATTTTCCACAAAGAGCAGAAGAATAGTTTCACCTGGACTGGCTGCTTGCTTTCAAAATCAGCTGTTTTCTGCCTCTAAAGATTAGCTGCTAATGGCGACTCGCATAAATGTGATCTGCCCTTCTTTTGCTGGTTCCAGGGGCTGCTCTGGGTTCAGAGAGCTGGCTACCGTCAGCTCCTGTTCCCCAAAGGTTCACCCTTCAGCAGCTACCCCTCCAGAGTGACTTTTAGCCCAAACAGGCTCGCCAGAGAAGGAATTTTGGACCCAGGGAATGGGCGATCGTTCCCGAGGGTCTACAGTCAGCAAGATCACCGGAAGTCCCTGGAATCCCTGCAATGTTTGTTCCTTGGACTGGCCTACTCAGAGCTGACAGCAAAGATTGTATCTATTTCTGACTTGGGAGGTCTTGCTCATAATCACTCACTCATGCTTTAATCACTATACTGTCTCAACTCACTGCAATGCTGTGCTTGAAAACCACTAGGAAACTGCAGCAATGTAATGGCATCTTGGTTTTCCTTTATATTACATTTGCCCCCTATTATGTTACTACTGCTCTGTGAGCTGTACTGGTTGCCAGTGAATTTAAAGTACTGATTGTCAGCTATAAACCTCTTCATCAACCAGTTCTTTGAGCTAGCTTGTTGCATCCAATTCTGCTTGCCATGATACAAAAAAGATCTGAAAGACCTAGAAAGAATGCAGAGAAGACCAGAAAAAAGATAAGGGGTCTGGAGACTAAACTATATGAACAGTTAAAGAAACTATGAATGTCTAGCCTAACAAAGAGAAGGATTAGGAGTGACATGGTAACTGTCTTCCAGTACATGAGGGACTGTCACAGAAAAAAGGTGGTCAATTTATTCTCCATCTGAGAAAGCTATGGGTGGAAGCTGATTAAAGAGAAAAGCAACCTAGAACTAAGGAGAAATTTCCTGACAGTGAGAACAATTAATCAATGGAATAGCTTGCTTCCTGGAGTTGTGAATGCTTCATTGCTGGAGGTATTTGCTGGAGATTTTCAAGAAGAAAATGGATTTGTCCTGCCTTAGGCAGGAGGTTGGACTAGAAGACTTCCGAGGTCTCTTCCAGCCCTATGATTCTATGATAAATTGTCAAATATGTATACAAAGTATTGACAAATGCTGAGTTCAATTAGCTCAGCTCATAGACTAGTAGAAATAACAAGGCAAAACTGCCTGTAACAGTACCCTTCATGACAATGGAGACTTTCCCAAAATATTCAAAGCAAAGACATACACTTTAAAATCTACTTTAAAAAAATTTGTTGCCCAAATTTCCAGAAATAAGAGAATATGAAAATGAAATATATTCCAACGTGCAGTATTGTATGGACGTATTTAGTACAGTGTCTATTGTAAAGTCAAACTGAGGGATCAACTACTCATGCTCCCCTATTGAAACAACTAAGTTGTTTCAAATAAAAATGTTGAGCATATTAACACATGCTTAAGGGCCTGTTGCCTATTAGATACATCAGGAACCATCAAATTCATCAACAAAAGCATATTGATGGAAAATAGTTATCTTATGTGTTCTAGCACCAAGCTTTAAATTGCAAGGAGCAAAGGAAAGGCTCTGGAAAAATCAGTGTTGGGTCATTATGATTAAATAATCTCTTTATTGTTATTTGGTGTGTAACTTTTAAGGTTTTCAAAGACTGCACATCAAATAACAACAATAAGAATTCAGCCTTCTGAGTAGTTTTGTGTAACAACTTCAAAATGATATTTTAGCAAGTCAATATTTTTACTTAGTGCTGCTAATTAAAAAGGCACTGCTTCTGTTCATAATTTAAATGAAATGAGCCCCTGGGGTCTTCCAAATGATATTTGAGAAGTGATCACTATTTTATTGGAACAACTGACAAGACCACAGAAACAGAAAATAATTTGTTGTATCTATTGTTCCAATAGAGTACTATAGGATTTTACTTTTCTAGCTCTGATTCCAATACAAACTGTGATTCCAACACTTCATTGTTATTCACTATTCAAATTGAATTTAATATACCCACTATGCTTTATGTTTTCTTATCAGATACTTTGACTGATTTTATAGAAATTATATAGACTGGGCACATTTTGTCACATTTTTATTTTCTTCCCACCCTCAGGGGTCAGGATTCATTCATAAGGTAATGAATTAAGAACTGATATGTAAAGTAGTAAAAAAATAACTAAAACTATAACAAATAATTCAATAAAACCTTAAATAAATGGGAATAAAGTTAGTAGTATACTAAGTCCAATATTTCCTTGAAATATTGAAATAATTGCCAATTTAATGTTGTTTAGTTGCAAATGCAGATATAGTGCAACAGGAAAGTTCTTTGAATGGTCTCCATTTCCTTTATCACATATAGGTATGGTAAACCTGGATGCGCTGCAGATACATGCGACTATTTTCTCAGTTACCGCAGAATAGGAGCTGACATAGAGTTTGAATTGAGTGCTGAAGCTGATGGCTGGGTAGCTGTAGGATTTTCTTCAGATAAGAAAATGGTAAGAATGTGTTCTTTGCTCAAATAATGACTGATTTTTTGGGGGGAAAAAATTTCAAATTATTATTCGAATACAAATAATGACAAAATGTAGTAATTTGGTACATGTAGCATTTCTAATGATGGGACAGAATGACAGAAATGTGATAACCAGTTAAGGATGACAAACAATTTTAAGTAAATATTTTTCCTTTTATCCCTAGAAAGTGTTTCACTTAATCAATAAACCTGTTCTTATTTATAATTTTTGGCCATGGCAAATGTGGTTCTAAAATCAGTTAGAACCTTGTATATTTGCATTTTTTTATGAAAAGAATATCTAATTAGAGGGGAACCTCTACTGTTTTTCTTTCAATTTCTTGTTATTTTAACAATCACATATAAAGAACTTCCTTTCTTTATGGAATATTCCTAGGCCTGCCTTCCTTCCTTCCTTCCTTCCTTCCTTCCTTCCTTCCTTCCTTCCTTCCTTCCTTCCTTTGTTTCTATAGCTGCCAATTTCAGTAAATGACTCTGGTTAGCTTACCATTCAGAACATATATTACAATAAAAAATTAAAAAACATTTTAAAAAATAAAAACAGTTAAACCAATAAAAAATATTAAAACCAGCAACAATACTTTAAAACATCCTATTCAAGATGCACAAGTGCAAGATATTTGGTCTGTTAACAATGTAGCCAGGAAACAGGGCCGTGAGCCCATTCAATGCTCCAGGCTCGGAAACATATCCAAGTTTTTTAGGTCTTACAAAAGGCTAACAGGGTTGGGGCTATTCTAATCTCTGAAGGGAAGATGTTCCATAGAGCAGGGTACCATTGCAGAAAAAGCTTGCCCAGTCCCAAGGCATGTAGGACTTTATAGGTAACCTTGAATTGCACCTAGAAACATACTTTATTAATTTATTTATTTCTAAAATTTATATGCCGCCCAATCCCAAGGGACTCAGGGCGACGTACAAAATTAAAACAATAATCTGACAATAAAACAGTAAAATAAATACATTCTTACAGCGTGTCCGATCATATCCCGCCCCCCCCGGGGACATCAGCCCCAGGCCTGCCGGAACAGGAGAGTTTTAATGGCTTTCTTAAAGGCCGGCAGGGTGGGAGTAGTTCCAACCTCGGGGGGAAGTTGATTCCACCAGGTCGGGGCCACCACAGAAAAGACCCTTCCCCGAGGGCCTGCCAGCCGACATTGTCTGGCCGACGGGACCTGAAGGAGGCCCAATCTATGGGACCTCACCGGTCTCTGGGAACTGTGCGGCAGTATGCGGTCCTGTAAGTAACCTGGCCCTATGCCATGAAGGGCTTTAAAGGTGATAACCAACACCTTGAATTGTGTCCGGAGACCCATAGGAAGCCAGTGCAGCTCACGGAGGATAGGTGACACGTGGGCGTACCTTGGCGCGCCCACAATCGCTCTCGCAGCTGCATTCTGAACCAACTGCAGCCTCCGAATGCTCTTCAAGGGTAGCCCCATGTAGAGCACGTTACAGTAATCCAGTCTTGAGGTGACAAGGGCATGAGTGACCGTGAGTAAAGCCTCCCGGTCCAAATAAGGCCTCAACTGGTGCACCAGGCGAACCTGGGCAAAGGTCCCCCTGGCCACAGCCGATAGATGTTGTTCCAAATTTAGCTGTGAGCCCACAAGGACACCCAAGTTGCGTGCCTGCACTGAGGGAGGTAAATTTGCCCCCCCCCAGGACTAATGATGGACCATCCAGTTGACCTTTGGGAGGCAAGACCCAGAGCCACTCGGTCTTGTCAGGGTTGAGTCTAAGCCTGTTCGCCCCATCCAGACCCTCACATCTTCCAGGCACCGGCACATCACGTCGACTGCTTCACTGAAAGGACACGGGGTGGAGATATACAATTGGGTATCATCCGCGTACTGATGATACCTCACCCCGTGTCGCCGAATGATCTCACCCAGCGGTTTCATGTAGATGTCAAAAAGGAGGGGGGACAGGACCGAGCCCTGAGGCACCCCATGATCGAGGCGCCTAGGGGTCGATTTCTGTTGGCCCGCCAACACTGACTGCGACCTGTCAGAGAGGTAGGAGGAGAACCACCGCAATACGGTGCCGCCCACCCCCACCTCTCCAAGACGACGCAGAAGGATACCATGGTCGATGGTATCGAAAGCCGCTGAGAGGTCAAGAAGCACCAAGATAGAGGAATGACCCCTATCCCGGGCTTGCCAGAGGTCATCGGTCAGTGCGACCAAAGCAGTCTCAGTGCTGTAGCCGGGCCTGAAACCAGATTGAAAAGGGTCCAGATAATTAGTTTCATCCAAGGATCGCAAGAGTTGAGATGCCACCACCTTCTCTACAACCTTCCCCACAAAGGGAAGGTTGGAGACAGGACGAAAGTTCTTCAAAACAGCTGGGTCCAGGGAAGGCTTCTTGAGGAGGGGCCTCACCACCGCTTCCTTTAAAGGTTGCGGGAAAGACCCCTCCATCAAGGAGGCGTTGATTATCGCCTGGAGCCAGCCTCGTGTCACCTCCCTACTGGCAGAAACCAGCCAGGAGGGGCATGGGTCCAATAAACAGGTCGCGGCATTCATTGCCCTCACGGCCTTGTCCACTTCATCAGGGGTCACAGGCTCAAACTCGCTCCAGATAACATGACTAAGACCAGCCCCCGGCAACTCGGCTGGCACTGCCCAGTCGGAGTCCAGGTCTCTCTGAATCTGAGCGATTTTGTCCGAAAGAAACTGAACAAACTCCTCAGCTTTCCCCTGCAAGGGTTCCTCCGCCTCCTCCACTTTAAGAAGGGAGCGGGTCACCCTAAACAAGGCGGCCGGGCGAGATTCTGCGGACGCAATAAGTGCGGAAAAGTGAACACGCTTTGCCGCCCTTATCGCCACTAAATAAGTTCTAAGATAGGCTCTTAATAGTGATCGGTCAGATTCAGAGTTACTGGCCCTCCAATGTTGCTCTAGACGTCTCTTGTGGCGCTTCATCTCCTGGAGTTCCTCAGTAAACCAAGGCGCCCTCCGGGGACCACCACCACAGAGAGGTCGCAAAGGCGCAATTCGATCCAGGGCCCCGGACGCCGCCTCATTCCAGGCCGCAACAGGGACCCGGACGAGTTGTGGACAAGGGAGTCAGGTATTTCCCCAAGCTCCTCCTGGAACCGATCTGGGTCCATTAGGCGCCTGGGGCGGAACCACCTAGTCGGCTCCCTCTCCCTGCGATGGGGGAGTGATGCTCTGAAGTCCAGCCTCAATAGGAAATGATCTGTCCATGACAAGGGAGAGATCTCTATTCCCCTTAATTCCAGATCATGTCTCCATTGCCCCGAGAGAAACACAAGGTCGAGTGTGTGACCACCCCTATGAGTTGGATCCTGGATTACCTGGGTCAGGTCCTTGGTTGCCATGGAAGCCATGTACTCTTGCGCCGCCTCTGAGCGATCGCCGAGTGACGGCAGGTTAAAGTCCCCCAGTACCATAAGTCTGGGGAACACCACCGCCAACCGGCTACTGACTCCAGCAACATAGGCAGGGCTGTTGCAACGTAGCTGGGAGGTAGGTACGTCAGCAGCAAGCCTAACTGAACCTATGAACCCAACTTCAATAGGAGGGACTCACACCCAACAACCTCCGGGGCAGGAATCCCACGAGGACTCAAGGACCTCCGAGCGATGACTGCCACTCCCCCACCCCTGCCCTGATGTCAAGGCTGATGAAGCACCACAAACCCGTCCGGGCACATCTCCGAGAGGGAAACACCCCCCTAAGGGCCCAGCCAGGTTTCGGTTATACATGCCAGGTCGGCCCCACTGTCCAATATTAAATCACGGACAAGGGGGGCTTTGTTGACAATGGACCTGGATTAAGCAACAGCACCCTACAACTAGGGCCCTGTACTCCCCTGTCACCAGTACTACAGAATGGGCCTCGTTCCCCAAAGATGGCCTGCCCCTCGGCTCCCGCCATATCTGCCCATCCCAGTCATAACCGGGATGCTCCGACCTTCTCCCCTCCCCGGAGTACCCCCACCCTCACCAACCTTCTCCTTTCCTGACCGGACTAGCTTTCCATACAGACCAAGCCCAAGGGTAAGTCCTGCCCCCCCCGCTTTTGCTATTGCACTCAGCAGAGGGAGCACCAGGCTCCGCCCCCGACTCCACCATTCTCATACCCCAAACACTCAATACACATTCACACTCAATTAATATACATAAAAATAAAAATATTCACATTCATACGCCCTAAATACAATAATAAAATTTATACCTAACAGGGCCACCATTCATCTACATACATACACATATCCACAACAAACATTCTCTAAAAAATATTGCCCCTCCGTGTCCCAGGCTGGTAACCAGTGCTGCTCCTATAGGAGTGGTGTTACATGTGCTATATATTTACTTCCCATGCAGCTGCATTCTTGAAGTTTCTGGATGCTCTTCAAGGGCAGCCCCATGTAGACTGTGTTACTATAGTTTAACCTGGAGATTATAAGGGTGTGAGTTACTGTGAGTAGGATTTCCCAGTCCTGGAGGCGTGCGAAGGCCCTCCTGACTATGGCTGCCACCTACTTTTTGAGCAGGACCTGTGAATCCAGGAAGACTCCCAGATTGTGCACTGGGTCTGTTTGGGGCAGTGCAACCACATCCAGAATCAGAGATGGGGGTCCCTATACTTACAGCCACTACATCTTGCTAGAGACGAGTCAGAGTCCATTTCACTTCATCCATTTCCCAACAGCCTCCAGATACTGAAGTGGCATCACTCAAGGGTCTGGAGTAGATATATAAAGCTGGATAACTCATCCCAAACCAATGGGTCACCTCACCCAGCAGCCTCATGTAAATGTTAAATAGAAGAGAAAGCAGAGCCCTGAGTCATCCCACAAAGTAGGGGCTGCAAGCTAGATTTCTCTCCCTCTATCAACACTAACTAGAGCTGGCCATAGAGGAAGGAGAACCAGCACAATATGCCATCCACCTCTACTTCCCAGAGCTGGCTTAGAAGAATACCATGATTGATAGCATTGAATGCTTCTGAGAAGTCAAGAAGAATCAGAATGGATGCACTATCTCACTCGCACTCCTGCCAGAGGTAATCTATGAGTGCTGTTTAAGTCCCAAACCCAGGTCTAAACCTGACTGAAGGAGTTCTACATAATCTATTTCATCCAGAGTTCTCTGAAGCTCTGAAGCAATGCAACCACTATCACCACCACCTTCCCTAGAAAGGGAAGATTGAAAACTGGAGAAATCTATGCCCACTAGCTAGGTCATGCAATGATAAAGGATCTACTTAAAAGGACCATTGCATGACCTAGCTAGCGGGCATAGATTTCTCCAGTTTTCAACCTTCCCTTGCCCAGACCCACTCAGGCGTCCCCTCCAGTGAGGCCTTAATTAGCCAAGAGGGATAAGAATCTAATACACAGGTGGTGGCCAGACTAGTAACTGAGAGAGCCCTGTTCATCTCCTCCAATTCAAATTCTTCCCAGATTGGCTTGCAAGATGTAGTCCCCATCACTTTCATAGATACTGCATTGGAGTCCAGCATAGATAAGATAACTTTTATTGTCATTTTTTACTGTGGGCAGACTGGCACACATTAAAAATTAAATTCTATTGTCTGCTCTCAAAAGTGTACACTTACATACATAACACATATATAAACATACTATATACAACATATGTACACCTAAATAAAGATTAATCACTGTCTATCTTGAATACGTAATGGAAAGAGGAAGCTTGAGAGTTCACAAGCTTAATACCATATGGAACAAAACTGTGACTGAATCTGGATGTTCTGCTTTGGATACCACAAAGCCTTCTCCCAGAAGATAACAAGGAAAACAGGTCATGAAGAGGATGTGTAGTGTCCCAGATAATCCTGCGGACCCTGCTCAAGCAGCGTTTATATGAATGAATGTGATTGATTTTATCTGCCAAATGTGTCTCTAGGCTTGTTCGTATCACCATGTAATTCCAAGTCAGCTCTCCAAACCTATCCCACACCAGCATTTTTATCCACTGTCTTATAGCTGCTATTGTCCCTGCCACTGTCATCAACTGTCACATTTGAAACCTCTTTTCCTGACCAGAGTAGGACCACATTTTGGTGCTTCCCCGCTGCCTCTTCTTCACCAGATCTTGCCAGTATTTTGGCTTGGCTCAGCGTCTCTTGACTCCAAATTTCACCCTTAGAAACTTTTTGATGTTGCTGCCTCAGCTGATACAAATGCAAAAGTAAATGCAAATGCCATTGGCTTGGTTCAGCATCTCTGACCTCTGAATTACAAGTGGAGGCTTGGATTCAGCATGCCCTTGCTTGTCCCTTCTCCTTCTCCCTAGCTCTAGGCCTCAGTTCTATGACTTTAGCCTAGCTCTGATCGCTAGTTGCTGAACTCTTTACTTGTTTCAGTGTCAACCAGCATCAGGGCAACAGTTTCAGCCACCAGCCTAACCACTGGGCAACCATTGGGCAGAAAAACAAAGAGGATAGAGGCAAGGGGTAAAGGTAAAGAGGTAGGTGTGGGATATGGGAGTGCAGTCAGTCAATAGGGGTCCTTCTCACCCACTTTACAATGGGGAACCCTGCACTTCCCTTCCTTCCTTCCTTCCTTCCTTCCTTCCTTCCTTCCTTCCTTCCTTCCTTCCTTCCTTCCTTCCTTCCTTCCTTCCTTCCTTCCTTCCTCAATGAAACTAATAAACTTTATCTACAAGGAGAATATAATCAGTGATATCTTGGTCAATGTTTAACAACCAGCTCTGATGGCTCCATATCCATTGCCACACTTGCTTTCATACAGCTGATAGGTGCACTAAGCACCAGTCATGGGTACTGACATCTTTATTTGTAAGGTTACAAATAAAGATGTCAGTACCCATAGGTAGCCCTCACTCAATGACCATTCAGCAACCATTCAAAATTATTATGACATTGGAAAAATGGTAATTATGATTGGTTCTCAGAGTTACAGCAATTGCAGTACCCCAGATTATATGATCAAAATTCATGTGTTTCCCCATTTTCAACCACAACATACACTTTAATTTACTCCAACTGCCTATCTCCTCCCATCTCTGACCTTCTGACTGCCCTGAGTCTTGCTTATCTCTACTATCTATGCTTTGCTGTCTTCTTGCTCCCACTGCTGACAAGACATGTCCATCTGAGTCAGCTGTTGTCCCTTAGTTAAGCCTTTGCAAGGCCTTCATGGTGCCCACCCTCATGTCTTTTGGTTGTCCGGCAATCCACTGCCAACACCATCATCAGCTACTTCTGCTATCTCCCATTGCTCTTAATTGAACTTTGCCATCTTCTTCCTCCCTTGAAAGGGCCAGCAGCTGCCTGGGCCAGATGCACCCCAGCAGCAGCATGAGGAACAAGACAGCCAGGATCAGTCGGGGGGGGGGGCAGCAGAGGGAGGCAGTGCCACAGTGCAGGGTGGCCAAAAGGCAGAGATGGCAGAGAAGGTAGGTAGGTTGGAGGATTTGAATGAAGTAGAGTGCGGCAGGCAGGAGAAGCATGATATTCTCTCATACAATTATAACATCTCAGCAATTTGACTCTCATCTATAATCTGACTCATTCCCCAATACTGAGATCACTTATGCCAAGATTACCTATCTTCATACTTCAGTAGAAATCTTCAAGTGAAATTCTTAGTTCATTTTTCAATTTAGGGTGGAGATGATGTTATGGCCTGTGTTCATGATGATAATGGAAGAGTCAGAATACATCACTTCTACAATGTTGGTCAGTGGGCAAAAGAAATCCAAAGAAACCCTGCCAGAGATGAAGAAGGTATTTTTGAAAATAATCGTGTCACATGTCGATTTAAGCGCCCAGTGAAGGTTCCCAGGGATGAAACTATCGTAGATCTCCATCTGAGTTGGTACTATTTATTTGCTTGGGGCCCAGCAATTCAGGGTAAGTTCATTTTTTGTTTGTTTGGTTATCCTCCTCCTAGAGAAAATTTATGTGGTCTTTAAGTGTCAATAAAAATTGATGGCACTTAATCAAACCAATCAATTAATTCTTAATTTATGTATTTTTACAAAACACACAGTAGAGCATGTCAAACACAAGGCCCGGGGGCCGGATGCAGCCCTCAAAGTGGTTTCATGTGGCCCGCGAAGCCATCCTGGAAACAGTGAGGGAACGGCTCCCACTGCCTTGGCCTTGGCCCAGGCCGGCTGGGAGGGAGACAATGTACAATTTTGTGGTGGCCATCTATGCTGAAATGCATTCAGTCTTAGCTCCACATGGCCGTCTGGAAACAGTGAGGAACCAGCCCCTGCTGCGTCGGCCCCACCCCCTGGGTGCATGCTGGGGAGGTGTCACCCTTTGCGAGGAATGAAGAAAAGCACCATTGCCTGGAAGTGGCCAGCAAATGGTTCTGGCTTACTTCACATATCCGGCTTGATGGGCTCTGGGGGAGGAGTTTTGGCAGGCAGTGGGGTGCTCTCCTCACAGCGCCGAGAGGCTGAGCCGGGTGGCGCAAATCTGATGAGAAGTGCAATGCCACCTAGCCCCCAGCCTGCCCAGTTTCAGCAGGCAGCAAAGTGCAAAGCTGGCAAGCTTCGCACTGCCTGGCTCAACCTCTTGGCACTGTGAGGAGAGCGCCTTGCTGCCTGCCGAAACTGGGCAGGCTGGGGGCTGGGCAGCATTACGCAGGTAACATTGACTCTCACACTGCTCATGGCATCCCCTTCCCCAGAGCCCACCAAGCCAGATATGTGAAGTAGGTGAAGATATGTGAAGATATGTGAAGTGCTGGCCACTTCCAGGCGATGGTGCATTTCTTCATTCCTCATGAAGGGTGATACCTCCCCAGCTGCTTTTCTTGCCTGTTTTTCTCCCTCCGTCATCTCAAATATTTTCCCACCACTTTGTACTTAGGAAGGAAAGAAGGAAAGGAGAGGGAGGGTCTGAGGGAAGTCCTGCCTTAATCCTCCCTGCTGCCCTTTCACCATCCCCTTGCCCCCTCCTCCTGGCTTAACCTGGGGGTCTCCCATCCTATTGCTAAGGAAGCTTTGGTTACAAAGCTGGGTCTCCTCCCATGGAGAGGGAATGGGCCTCCCTCTGACTTTGCCTTGGTACCCATCATGAACAATCTGGTTAAGGAGAGCAAGCACAGCAGCAGCAGCCTTCAGGAGGAGGTAAGTGCAGCTGGGCGCCCCCTCGGGGAAGTGGGGCTGGGCTTGGTGCCACGGGTGCTCGAGGGCCAGGCTTGGCATTTGACCTCTGCTGCCCAGGGTTCCAGACAGCCTGCACCACCATCCAGCCTCCCCCCATAGCCTGAGAGGAACAGTGAGGCTCTTCCAGTGGACCATACATTGGCACTTGCCCTGATCCCACCCCCTTCTGCCAAAGACTCTCAGATCTGTCCCACTCCTGCCCAGGCCCCCACAGGCACCATTGTCGCAAACAATGTAGAGCTGGCCATGCCCACCCAGTAGGCCACACCCACTCCCTCCATGCCCACCCAGTAGGCCGTACCCACCTGGCCACATCCACCTGCCCCCAAAGGGCAACCGCAATGCTGATGCGGCCCTTAATGAAATTGAGTTTGACACCCCTGTAATAGGGTGTCCAATTCTTTTTTAGCAAACTCAAAACCATGGCCTTTTTTGTCTAGTTTAAATCTTTCCTTCATTTGTTGGTATGTAAACCAGTGACAAGCGTGACCTTCTAGTTCTAATTTTTCCCTAGACTTGAGGATGGGGTCTCCAGAATTGAAAGATACTATTTTATCATATATCCACCAGATCTGTTTCATCACCATTTCTTTTCTTAAAAAAGCTTCTTGGGGAGATAGCCATAGGGGCAATTTCATAAAAAAAAACACCTTGTTTTATACTTATTCCAAACTCTTAATATGGTGCGTCTAATAAAGTGATTATTAAAATGAACATTTACTTTCACTTTATTGTACCATAAATACCTATCCCATCCAAACCTTAATTCATGGCCATCCAAATCAAGCAGCTTCTTATTCTGGAGATTCACCCACTCTTTTAACCAAACCAAACAGCATGCATCAAAATACAATTTCAAATCTGGTACACCCAGACCCCCTCTTTCCTTGGCATCTTGCAATAACTTTGATTCTTGGTTTCTTTACTTGCCATATGAATTTAGAGATATCCCTCTGCCACTGTTTAAATGGAATGTCCATTGCAAGTATTGGTATTGTCTGGAACAGAAAAGCATCTTTGGTAAAATATTTATTTTAATTACTTAAATTCTGCCCAGTAATGATAAATGTAATTTGTCCCATCTTTGTAAATCCTTTTTTATATTATTCCAAAGAGGTACATAATTATTTTGAAACAATTTTGTGTTTGTATTTGTCAGCATAACCCCCAAATATCTCACCTTTTTCTCAATCTTGAAACCAGACCTTTTACTCAATATATCACCATTCTGGGAGGACATATTCTTGATCAACATTGTTGTTTTCCATTTATTTATTTTAAAATCTGCTAGAACCCCAAACATTTAATTTTCTCAACATATATTCTGTCTTATTTTTGGGGTCCTGTAGGAATATAATCAAGTCGTCAGCGAATGCCCTCAATTTGTAAACTTCTTTCTTTATATTTATACCCATTATTCTCTCATGTTGTCTAATGTCTCTATTCAAAACTTCCAACACCAAAATAAACAACAAGGGAGACAAGGGGCATCCTTATTTCATACCCTTTTGAATGGATAAGTCAAATCACCATTAATAACAATTTTTGCTTGCTGTAATGTATAAAATAGCTTTAACTCCTTGAACAAAGCTCACTCCAAAGTCCATTTCTTCCAGAACTTTAAACATGAAAGCCCAATTTAAATTGTCAAAGGCCTTCTCTGTATCTAGGAATATTAAAGCTGCCTCTTTCTCATTGTGGTATTGTAAGTATTCAGTGATATTCAGAGCAATCCTCACATTGTCCCTTAACTGTCTTTTTAGTAGAAAGCCAGATTGGTCTTCATGAACCTGTAAAATCTTCTTTAGTCTTTCTGCCAAAATTGCAGCAAACAGTTTATAGTCATTGTTCAATAGTGAAATTGGTCTATAATTCTTTGTCTTTGTAGGATCTTGACCCTCCTTCGGTAATAACACAATATTGGCTTCCTTCCATGTTTGGGGTATCCTTCCCTCCTGAAGTATATCATTCATTATGTCCTTTAGTGGCTGTAGAAGTTCCTCCTCGAAGCACTTACAGTATTGACTTGTAAGGCCATCTGGTCCTGGAACTTTACCTGGTTTCATTTTTTTAATAGCTTCTGATATTTCGAAGGCTGTTACTTGGTCATTCATTAGTTGCTCTGGAGTTGTGATAACTGAAGTAATCTTTGTCTTAAAAGATGTTCATCTATTTTAGACCTATCTAACTCCTGTTTTTTATACAAGTTAGAATAAAAATTATGGAAAATCTTTTAACAAGTTCATTATTAATTATTATCTTATCCCCTTCACAAATTTTCTCAATAATTCCATTTTTCCTTTCCTTCCTTAATTTATATGCCAACTATCTCCCTGGTTTATTTGCAAGTATGTTTCACATACTTCATTTTTGTTTCTATTTCTTGAACTGTTAACACGGAGACAATTGTTGCAACAATTTAATTTGATGTGAAATTTTTACATCCATAGGTTTCTTTTGCAACTCAATTTCTTTCGGTCTTATCTCATCTAATATTTTTTTGCATCTTTTCTAGGGATTTCTTCTTATCTAGACAATTATACTGTGTAAAATAACCCCACATAACACCCTTGCTTGCATTCCACACAGTTGTTAAAACAGTTTCTCTACCTAAATTATTATCAAAATACTCTTTTAATATCTTTTTACAATCTCCTTTTACAAAATAACTTCATTTAGTCTCCATCTATAATTCAACCTCTGGCTATCATAACACTGGTTATGTTATGATCAGAGAAGGATTTAGGTAAAACATCACTCCTTTGAGTTTATCCCAACGAAAGGGGATCTTTCTCTTCTTTAAGCTATTGATAAGAAAAGCATAGATTTGCCTTTTTCTCAAAATTCTCAACAGGATTTCCTTCAGCACAATAACATCCACACTTTCCATTCTCAGTTTTGATTTAAAATGCCAATCCAAAACAAGATTTCTTGTTCTTATAAAGTGAACTAACACATCCCTTGGTAGTTTTCTCAAGTAGCAAATCTGGAGTTTACTCTGAAACATGTTATCTATCTCTAGATTCATATTTTTTTCTTCCCAATTGGTCAGCTGAGTCAGGACTTTAACCATCCTTAATCTAATATCTTCTCCTGACTGTTTGGGAATAGCTCAAAATCTTAATTGGAACTGTTGTATCTGACATTCCAAAATTGCATTTTGGTCCAAATCAGCTTCCAGCAAATTATTTACCTTCTCCATTTCATGTTCCAAAAGGTCAGTTCTCACTTTCACCTTCTTAATCTCTCCAGTCAAATGCTAAATCTGGAGGGGAGAGAAGAGAAAATGGAAAGAAAAATTAGGAATTATTTAGGCTTGTCAGGATATTGGTTGTGGAAACTCTGAGTGAGGCGAGTGAATTTTACATGGGATCCATTTGGATTCAGAAGTAGGGAAATGCTTCCATAGAATTAGATATTGGAGCACTTTGTAAATGATCAGCCAAGAATTTTGTACGGATGACATCCAGTCGGCAAGAGAGCTATCCTAGGGGGTCTGCCATGGGAGTTTTGGTATAGCCACAAAATCTTGCCCTATCACCACATGTAATGGTGCAAATCCAGTGCTGGAGTGCATGGCATTGTTATAGGCCACCTTCTTGAAAGGGAGGAGGTCAGACAAATTGTCTTGTTGATAGCTGACATAACAACGGAGGTATTGTTCTAGGACACCATTTACAGCCTCCATTCATTTGGGGATGGTGCGAGGAACTAAGCCCTTGGGATGTT